CCCCCATTCCCCTCGCGGCTACTCCATTTCCCTTTGCTACTACTCTCCCTATTTTCCCTAGAAGGGGACGTTTAATATGGCTACAATTGACTTTTTATGTTGTAGGGCAAGAGAAACAAAGAACTTCATATGTAGGCACTTTTCCACTTTGACCACAGAAAGAAGGCTCTATAGAAAAAAATCTCAATAGAATTTAAGATCTTTTCTACTGGTGCCGAAAGATAGATGCCATTCAGTGGATAACATTACAGTGAGAATACTAGATCTAAACAGTTTAAATTCCTTTCCAACCTTTCTTGATTCGGTATACAGAATGTGAATTCAGAATCTCAAAAATTACTTTATCCCTTAAGACTAGTGCAAGATGCCTTAATTGACCAATCAGGCAGATATCCTGGGAAAAAATGGAAGACTTCAATCAAGAAAAGTGAATAGATAAAAAATATGCGCACAACAGTATAAATATTACGTGGATAAGTGTTTACAATGTACTGAAGTGGAAAATGCTTCACTTTAGTAGAAAACACACTCAACCAAGAAAAAAGTGAAGATTATCAAATTCTGTCAACTTGGCCTAATTGAATACATAATCCAAGAATAGAAATGGGACTCAAAGAATAAAAAATATCAGATATACACAGTATTTTAACGCTAAATCAGCTTATTTGGCCACATAATCCAATATCATAGTGTATATAGAGTAACTTTGATGTAAAATTAATGGTGGGATCCCTGAAACTAAAAGTATGAATCTAGATTAACAGTTTGTGAAATCCGAGAAATGAACAAAATGAATGAAACAGGGATCTAACATTTCAATAATGTTGCTTAACTTCACAAATTTCATCTGTACATGCAAAATTATACATTGCTTCATCAAGCATATAGTGTACATAAGGCTGCCACAGCAGTAAATAACACCAGGACGTAATCACTTTTACTTTTAACAAAATCCATATTGGGCATCTCGATATACTGACCAGACCAGATGTTTCTTTCTCACTCAAGATATCTTTTGGATTGGAACGGGAACTGGAAACTTTGATTGGCAGCACCGGTGTTAACTATACAGGTAGAATGCGAGGCAATATCATATGAAAATTTAGTTAATGGATTATCATATGCCGAGTCAAAAAACATTGAAGCTCCATTATTTTTGTGATTCCAGTTGAGTAGTATTTTTGGAGTGCCAATGGACTTCTGTACCGTGACCGAAGAAGAATTATCAGATGATGGAGATTTTATATTATCAGAGGAGCAATTGTTTGTGAAGTGAACTGATGTTATATCGTGGATACTTGGCCTCCTCTTATCTTTCCCTCCTGAAAGCTGCCTTAGATAGTACTTTTGAGCATGGCTTGCAACTTGAGTAGGTGTCTTAGAAATAACAAAATTTCGCGAAATGTTCCTCCAATCCCCTCTGCCATGTTCTTGAAGTCCCAACAAGAAAAGTCTATTTTCAACCATGAAAGTTATCAGAAAAATAGAAACAAACTATAACAACATAATATCTTTCGAAGTTTCATTTGCAAGCAGAGACGATAAATGAGAAGAACATCGACAAAGCTGCAGCCAGTTTCTTTCCAAAACTAAGACATTATTGGCATGTTTGCTGGGGGTGGTTTATATATTACTCGATAATATCAAGGAAGAAAAATAAGCTAAAATCGTGTTTAATATAGTGTCGGGCCCTACCCATTATTGTGTACAAAAAATGCACTAGGTATTTTGATAGCTTATTCTACGTGGAATGTTTTGAATCAAAATTACCATTGGGATGGGAAGTGTAGTTTATATTCCATTAAAATGTCTAATTATCTTATACATTTCAATTTTCAACGATGATGATATGCATAGCGTTAAAGAAGAGATCATCACATAGAGGACAAACTAAAAATTGATAGCTTCATGGTGAGTTCCTCGTGCCTCTTTTAAGAGTATACTTCTTGTGCATTTAACATATCAGCCTCAGTATAATTCAATCCTGTACAGTTATTACAACGAAGGTAAGCTGCAGAAAAAAAGAAAACACCTTTGGATCTATATTTTATGTCTTTGGAGACATAATTAGAGCCGAACATAAACATCTAGTTAAAGAGAGAGAACAAAATTCTAAGAAAACTTCACCTGTGCTCCTCCTCTGTCCATGGTACACCTTTCTTTCTTTCTTGATTGCAAGACCTGCTTCTCTTCCTATACACATCAAAACTGTGATTATCGGGTATTTTCATTGTAAAAGAAGAGTTCAAGTATCCAGGAATTGGGACCAAACCAGCTTCTATATTACTGACATCTGCCACCAGTTCTTTGTACTGGTTTATCACATCACAAACTGATTTTCCAGGGATCATGGCAGCCACCATAACCCATCTATTGGGAGTACTTTCATCAAACACTGCAAGTGCACTCTCAAATTGCTTGTTTTCTTCTTTTGTCCATATTGGGTTTTTCCTTTGTTGCATCAACAAACTCGAATTCGATATGAATGAAGCTGGAAACAAAGTTTCCATGCGTAAAAATCCCTAAACCAGGGCCGGGGAAACCTTGCACGCGTCTTAGAGAGTAAACCCTCAATATAGCTATAGTTTGGCAGTTCACTATCGTGGGATTCTTATCACAAGCATTGAAGGTTATGGGACTTAAAGATATATGGAGTATGCAGAAAGAATTTGGAATTTTACAATGATCCGAAATGCATTGAAATCAGAATCATTTACTGGGAATCAGAATACTGCGTTTTTCACACAGCATAAATTGAAGAATCTTGAAGACAAGACTTACCTTTGCAGAATCTTGAAAAATATCAGAGGAGATAAAGGCAAGAAATATATAAGCAAAATCCAAATAAAATTTTCAATTTAGGAGTGATACAAGGAAGAAATCTCAAGAGATTATTTTTTGAGTTCAGAATTATGTTTCACTACTGAAGTGTAGAACTTGAGAAAAAGCTGGAAAATTCTCAGTTTGTTATGGGGATAATTCGGCAAATGAAAATGATAAAGAATTAAATCTGTCTCAAGTAGTAATGCTAATCATGGCTATGGATGAATCCAAAGAAGTGTAAAATTAGAAAGAGAAAAGGAGACAAATAATAATATTTGGAGGTATTGATAATTAACGCAAGAGGAGAAGTTTTGAAGGTCACTTGTATGGTTGTTTGATTAAGGTTTCGGCCAGCAAGCACCTTCATGGCTTCGTCGTTAAAGTTAAAAATAAAAATAAAAATAAAAATAAAAATGTACATACATCTTGAAATTGTATCGATAATGATTATGAGAATTGATTTTTTGATCGTTATAGAGAAAAGTGAATTCTACATGTGATTGAAGAAGTAAAAAATGACGACTGGAATAATGAAATAACGATCAAAAAATTAATTTTTTTAGGTGGAAAATTGCTGCCAAACGAGGGCTTAGTGCTAATAGAGAAGGCATTCCGTAGAAGTTACTAAACTTGCATATTTTTACTAAACTTTAATTTGTTTCAACATGATCGTCTATTTATTATTTTTCCTTTCAATTTGATTATTTCGTTTGTCATTTCATAGAAAATTTGTGAATGACCAACATGATTCGTGACCTAACTAATGTCATTCGTCAAATATACATGTCATTTGCCCCATTAAGAATTTCTAAACAAAGAACATGAAATTTGACCATAAAGAACATTTTACCATCCCGGAAAAAAAAATTGTAATATCGAAAATGAAAAATATAATTAAATGGTCTTCAAAAAGAAAAAAAGAAAAGAAAAGAAAAGAAAAACTAAGTAATTAAGTAACGAAGATGAAACGAAATTTTTAGTTGAGGGACGCAATATGAGGTTTTCCCACATGAATGAATATAGTATTATCAGTAAAAGATGAAAAAATCTTGGAGAAATTCCTATTTTTCTCAAAAGAATTAGTGGATATGAACTTGCAAGCTCAATCATTTGACAAAGGTTAGAATGGGTTAGTCCAAATCTAAATCATCCATCTTTGCTTCAAGAAAAGGCAGAAGGAGAACATAAAAATTAATTATTAAGAATTTATTAATTTACATCTATAATCAAATTATTCTTCTACTGTATTGTTTATAAATACAAGAAGATATTTTCTATAGGGTAATTGAACAAAATGTCCAAATCATTTGTACTTAATGTACAAATCGTCCATATCATTTCAAATTTGACATTTGTATGCTCATTTCAACCTTTTCTTATGGAGTTGATAATTTTGGTCTTGGTTCGTCAAATTTTATCCATTTTGGTCTCATGCCAAAAAGTGAAAGGTAAGAACGTTTCTCACTTCAATAGTATAAGGCAAGGACGTTATGTGTTAATTACCCATTTTTTTTAATTAATATGTTTTAAATCATTCAAGATCTTCTTTATTTATTTATTTATTTATTAAAAGACAAGGGAAAATTAGTTATTTCACAATGCATTAATAGAGAAAATAGACGGTAAGAATCTTTTGCATAAAGAAAGGTCGATCTGAGGGTTCAAATATTAAAATTGAAATTACATGGATGATTTGCACAATGAAGGTAAACGATGAGAATGTTTTGCACCAATTACCCATGTGTTGATGGAAGGAATTGATGGAATGGCACAGAAAGGTCCAACTCTGCAAGAAATTGTTAAAACGACGACAAAAATATCAAGTTTAAAACGATAGGGACGATTTGTGTAATGAATGCAAATGATGAGGATGTTTTATGTTAATTACCCTTTTATTTATCTTTTGTAATAATGTTGAATTTTTATTAAACATCGTATGTTGACAACCGAGTGTTGTTAACAATCATACTGTAAGATTTGGGCAACTATGTTAATAATATCTCCAAGATATTCTTTATTTATCTTTATACATTATAAAGAGTATCTATAAATTTAAATAGTGAAAAATTTTATGCACTCCAACAATACTTTTATTTCGACCTTTTATTTTGCTTTTTTAAGAAATATTTATTGATTTCTTCTCATATTTTATTTAACATAATATTTTATATGTAAATAGCCAATCAATTAAATTTTGTTTTGAATAGTTTAAGAATATAGTAGTGAAATACGTGACTTATTAAATATAATCATTGTAAATTAAAAATAGAGAATGAGTTTTAAATCTGAAGAGCAAAACATACTGTATTTTCCAAAAATGTATTTAAAAGGTAAAAATAAATAATCTTTTGGAACTTACTTTTAAGCATTACCATCACCAAGAGATTCCATGAATACAAAATGTTCTATATTTTAAATAGTTAATGTTTGAAAATAAGTTTCAAGATATTCTTTATTTTAACTTTTGAAAATTGATTGTGTGTTTAAACTCACTCTCTATTCTTAATGAACAATGATCGTATTTAATGTGTCACAAATTTCAATACTCTACAATATTCATATCATATTCAAATTGATTGACTATTGACATATAGAAAGTTATATTAAATAAAATATGAGAAGTAATCAAAAAATGTTTTTTTGTGAAAAGCAAAATGAAGAACAAAAATAGAGAGCCTTGTTACATGTATAAAAATTTTAGCTCTCTAAATTTAAAAATGCTCTCCATAATGCATAAAATGCTCTTTCGGGGTAGACTTTTTTTCACGAAATCAGTGGAACCAAACCAGAGTTGGATAGAATTGATTTGTTTGATTCTGGTTCTCTACTAAACGAGTCAATTTTGGGACTGAGGTTTTGGTTCGATTCTCGGTACTACCTTGAGAATTAATAGTGAGTTTGATTCTCTCGAATTTCTCTTTTTGTTAGTGCATTGCACCAAGATACATCAAATCTTTGAAGATTAGACCTCAAAATTACCTACTGTCAATATAATTTCAGTTCAATGTTTCATAAGAATTCAAATTTCTCGTTATTTTCAAAGTGGCCAACTATCAAGAATCAATTGATGACTACAAAAAGTAATAAGATTATAAATACTACATTTATTCTTAATATATATAGTTATATGAATTTTCTTAATAATTGATTTTATATTCATATTTTATCGTTTATGCTGTGTTTTATGGTTAATTTTTTTCGCATTTATGAGTTGATCTTGAGTTTTATTTATTTATTATTATTATTATTATTTTGAATCTGACAAGTAGTTTTATAATTTATTTTAATAATTTTTGAATATAAAGGATTGGACTTGACCAAATTGAAATCATGTGGCTCGGTTCTATAGTTAGATATGGAACCAGTGGTTCAATGTCTAGGATTCCTATTGGTATTGAATTTGGTTAATTCCATTCAAGATCGGACTGAACCACTCCCGCCATTGCTAATATTCTTTATAAATAAAGAATCTTGAAAATGCTCTAAGAGGATAGTACACATATGGCACAATAACTTTCTCTTAAATTTTAAAATGTTAAAAAAACATTTTTTTTTTTTTTAGGTTTTTACATAAAAAAAATATTGTGAAAGAGCTTAACAACTTAAGGAAAAAAAAGTTTAAGTTAAAAAAAATATGAAAAGAAAAACTTTTTGCTTACATTAACATTAAAGTGGCTTAAGTTTTGTGTCTTTCATAATGGAGAAAAAAAGTTGAAATCAAGAAAAAGGAAAAGTCAAATCAAGCCACTTGATATTGCCCCCAAAAAGTTTGAGACTTGTTTGTTTTAGACATTTTAATTGTTAATAGTAAAAAGTAATCAAAACATAATCAATTACTTCTGAACTTTACAAGTAGGAAAACTACTCTTCAATGTACCAATCAAAGGTAGTATGGATGAGGAATGGTTGGAAGGTAAACTATCAAATTAGACTAGATTAATATCTAGCGTATACAATGTCAAGAATTGAAAAACATTGAATTAGATTAAATACTTGAAATTACTATGTGTATCTCTTTTTAAATTTTATTAAGCTCCCGTTTCAATTTCATTCTTTAAAATATATTTTTCAACTATACATTGTTTGAACAAAATAATTTTTCATGTAAACTCAAATTTTTTCTCTACATTCTAAGCACACAATCTTCCAAAAAGGTATTTTTTTTTTCTAAAAAATGAAACTCAAGTGGAACTAAATCTTATTAAATTCAATATATCAAATATAGTGTTGTATATAATCTAGCTTTTTAACAGTTTGGGTAATTGCAGCCGGCATCCTTCTATAACGATTTATAGTTAGGATTATTCCATATGTACCGAATGGTGTTTCCCCTTTTACAAGTGCATGTGGACCCCGTGTGAATCTAAAAATATTGACATGTGGTCCCCACCCCATTGTGAATAGCAGGTAAAAGATTTGTGAAAAAATTCGGCATATGTAACGTTATCCTTATAGTTAAGTGGGAAAAAAAATAAAGCATATGACAAAGGCGCCTGTAGCTCAGTGGATAGAGCGTCTGCAGAAAGTCTTAGGTTCGACCCTCACCTGGTGTGGTGAATGTCTGCTATTATTTCTTACTTTATGTTTTCTTTATGAAAGACGTCAACTTCAAACCAACACTGAAAAATCACAGTAAATGCAAATTCATTTTTTTCCATCATCCGTACAAACTCTTACACTAATAACAATAACATCACTGTCAATACAATAGTGCACAAAATCACGACAAAATGCAATTGAAGTAAATACATCAACGATGTTTATTTCAGTTTCATTAATTTAAGGAAACCTACCAAACCTTCTGCTAACGTGTTTAACCAGTATACTTAATTTTTGTCATTTTTTGGCCTTTTCAACTATTTCAAGTATCCCATCCCTCTCTTGATTTAGCCAATCCATTCCCCAAATAGTGCCTGCTAATCTTCTTTTTCCTTAGCCTAACATTTTGGAAGATCACTAGGAGGTGGCAAGATTGATTCATTTGGGCCTTTACCATTTTCCACCAGAAATGCCATCTTAAGCCCCCATGTTGTATGAACTTCCAAATGACAATGCAAAAACCAAATCCCTGCAAAATTGAATCTTCATCGTAAGTCACTTATTATGTACTAAAATATGCATTTGCCACTCAATCTTGAAACACCTTCGACATGTTTGTAAAGTGAGTTTTGTAGTATTAACGAAGAGAAAGAAGCTACGGGCTAGTTCATTATCCTATCGATAACTATAATCAAGTGAAAAATGAAAAACAAAGAAGTTGATGAAAGGGCAGGCAAGGATGCAACATCTACCTGGATTATCAGCCCTGAATCTT